CAGACACCCTCTCCAGGGGGAACTGGGGAGTAAGGAAATGCTGTTTGAGTTTACTGATGGAAAGGAAAAAGGGTTTTGGATGTCCTGCCGCAGTCCGTTTTGTGGTGTGGGGCTGATGCCAGACATCCCTCTCTCTCTCTCTTTCTGATACTGCTACTCAGCACTGCAGCACTGTAGCAACAGGATGGATCTCTGCCTTAATGTGTGTACGTGTGTTGAGAGAGGGAGACCAAACGTGAGCGGGGAGTCAGAGAAATGAAAATTAAGTCAGAGCATGTCAGGGGCAGCAGCAACATGCAGCACAGATATTGAGATAACAAGCATGTTGCAATGGGAGAGAAAGCTGTGAAGAAATGGAGTGACTCGGACACCCTTCACAAGATTTTTGCATCCATTTGTTTTAGGAGGGTGCTGAAGCGGGGTGGCATGCTGCCAGTGATGAGCTCTTGTCTCTCTCTATGTGTGTGTGTGTGTGTGTGTGTGTGTGTCAGAGAGAAAGGGAGGGAGTCACTTTATCAGATGTGTCTTACAAAGTGAGGACAGAACATTTCCCTAAAGTCCTACACTTAATATTGGAAGCAAATCTGTAGAAACTGATTGATTGAAAATGATTATTACTCTGCTGGGGAAAGGATGAGTAATGTTTAATTTCTGTAGCTCAGTGTGGGCACTGTAGCTTTTCTCTCAAGCCTTTGCTGTAATCTAAGAATCTCTGACTCACCTAGTCACATACAGGATCGTATGGACATAACGGGTTATATGCATGTTGTATATGGACTCAGTATTCATTAAGCACAGTACATTATTATTGTTGGAGATATCTACTGTATGCAGTATGTATATGTCACTTACCCAACTATCTAAAAGCAAGGCCACATGTATAGACCGCAGTCCTGAATAATAAATGACATCCACCACAAAAGTGGTTCTCCTGCTATCCTGAATTAACTATGATTGATTCACACATTGCCACTGGAACTATAGGAACCACTCAGACACCATCCCTATCAATTGATTCTACCCAATAGCAGCACAGGAGGTGTGAAATAAGACTCTGTATAGTTGGGGGTTATTGCTGGATAAGCACTGAGTAGCACTTATAAAGTTACCGGCCATTAAGCTGTGCACTGGATGCACTGAATGGGAAGCCACTCTCTGACACCACGCCGCCAAAGAGGGATGGCTTAATTAAACTTTCATCTGACAAATATTCATGTGCGTTTAATGATCCCGAATTACTTCATTCCACATGAATTATGAATATTAATGAACAGGAGGGAAGGACGGCAGAAGGGTGTGTTGTGTATAGGTTGGAGCCTAAAGCGAGGGTGGGTGCTGGTGAAGACGAAGGATGTGTCTGGCCACCAGTAAATCACTTCACAGTCCCACCAAACCCTCCAGGCCAGAGGTCATAATTGGAAGTGAATATATAGTGTGTGTGTGTGTATGTGTGTGTGTGTAGCCTCATTACAGCAGCCTTGTGTGGAAGCATTAAAGCACCATAAGATTTCACCCAGATCTGACCAGAGCAGAGGTGGCTGGTGGTGGCCTATTTCTGTGGTCCTGCCCTGTCACATCTCACCTCGCTGAATGTTCACTGGTTACCATCTTGCCCTTGAGCATTGCTCCCATTTTGTCAAGTTTTTTTTTTTTTCTTTCCCTACTAATTAAAACAATACAGCCAAGTCTCACATGCAGGCATCCAAGAACCCAGTCATAAAAAAACAGAAGCTGATGCCCTCGTGTTCATGACGGTGAGTGTAGGATGTGATGTGTTTTTGAGCCAAAGTGCATATAGCTATTTAATATTGAGCTCCAAAAGTGCTTCTCTAATTGGTGTAAATTGGGACTATGGCTTTCTGCTTAAGAACTACCAGACAGATTAAAAGGCATATTGGTGCTCTGCTTGTCAAGAGTCTTGGATCATAAAAAAGCCATGCAAATCTGAGTTTCTACAGTGCATTAAACTTGAACAGCTGAATGCACATGTGCTCCGTAAAAAATGTAGTATTCATAAGAACAAAAACAATTTAGTAACATATGATGTAAACCTCTTATCCATTAAAATTTAACCTTAGTCACCCATACAATATGTCACATGTACAATCAGTAAAGGCTTTATTGTGTCCATGTATTCTCATATTCCAATACAAGTAGTAGATACACATGTAAAATGCAAATCTATTCTGTGGACCACCAGGTTTCGCTCAGGTACTTCTTTCTTAACTTGAAAAATAAAAAACTACTGTAGAAAAATATTTCCATGGACAACAATACCACCTCCCTAACAAGCCATTTAGAACCCTTTAATGTTATGAGAAACCTGAAAGTGGGCTACAGGCTGAAGAAACATGAAAAGAGGATATTCCTATGACAATCGAATCTAGTTCCCTTCTCCACATAAAAAAGAGAAAAAAAACCTCTTTAAATTCAGCATTTTTCCTCCGCAGTGCATAGCAACTGTCTCATATCCCAACATAGCTGAAGCCTCTGCTAGTGCAACGGTGGCATAGACAGTATCACTGGATCAATGCTGCCATCTACTGTTTCTTTTCAGACATTCTAGCATAGCACAGTATGTACTGTAGCATTTAGAGGAATCGATGTAATGGTTATTGTTAAGAGATCTTAGTTGATTTTTGAACCAGATCTAGGTCTGTTTAGAAATCAAAAAGTCTATTCATTAGTAAATACATGGTACTGTATTTCATTAGTTTCAATAGTAATAAGGGTTTTACAGATTCAGTGGGTTTTCCATTTCATTTACTCCTTGCCCCCCCTTTCCACACTGTATACCTTGTCCTGTAGCAGCACTTTCATAGTGCTCCTGAATTCCTTCCAATGGCTGTAAAATGGGAGGAGGAAATACATCAGGGAGATGTATGGGGTAATGGCAATGTAGGAGCCCAAAATAGATTCAAGAGCTTTAGTCATCAAATAGTATACTGCACAGGTGTGGTTTTATGGTTAAGGCCTTTTTTACTGCTTCCATTGCAACTTTGCAGCATTTGAAATCATAAGCATTTTGTGAGAAAGCGCCAATACATCCAATACATTCAATACATCCAATACATCCACTACGTCAAGCGTTAACAACTATGCACTACAGGATTCACCACAGAATTATTATAAGTGATGGAAGCGCATCTTGCATGATATAAATATGTCATAAAGATTGCAAGGTCTAGATTGTTGTAAAAATTAAACAGCAAGAAAAGTAAAAGAAGGGCAGTCTTCAAATTGTGGCTGATGTGCCTTACCATGTTTCTCTTACTTGGGCTTCATCAGGCCAGAATCTGTGAGGATGTTTCCCAGGCGTGAAGGAGAAAACCATTAGTTTAAATTGATGTAATTAATATGGAGGACAGACACCGAGGCCCATCTGATTAGGGTGGAAGTCAAGCCTCTCATGCCGTTCGCTTGACCTCCACACTCAATGATGTCGCCAGAATCAGAAGCACTCGGTTCCAGGCTCCTGAGCCACTGACCCAATCAGATTGAGCCACAGGGCAGGAAAAAAACAGAGAAGAATTTATGTTTGCAAAAGGTAGAATGAAGAAAATTGCATTTAATCTTACTAGGAAGGCATCATTGCAAAGTATGGGATATGAATAAAAAAAGGAACTGGAATTGGTGAAAGTGGTGGATATGCATAAAAGGCAACATTCATAACCTCTTTTGGGCACTCCTTTTAATGCTGCCTTTAACACGGTAGGCATTTTGACATGTCACAAGGAAAATCAGGTAAAAATGAATGACGACTGAATTCCATTTGACTGCTTCAGGCTTCAGGTGTTTCGCATGCTAGCTCACTGTCACACTGTCTTGTCTGACCATGACACTTGAATAGAACAGAGCCATTGTTAATGTCATTGGCACTTTTCCTATTATGACAAGTCTGCTGTAAAAGAGGCCTTTTATGTCCTGGACAGGGGTGTTTTTCAGAAAATCATGGAAGCTCCTATCAGTTTTCCTTGCTAACCCCATAATCTACAGTGGCCGTGTAGTGACACAGGTCTCATCTAGATTTGAAGTGGACATAAAGTTTAAGATACAAAACACTCATTTTGGTTTAAGTCATTATAAAAGCCTATTGGGGACTTTATTCAAATGATCATGTAAAATTGAAAATGAAATTTTCCACATGTATGTGTTATAGGATTACACTGGACTTGATGAGCATGAGCAAAGCAGGAGAAGCAGTCAGCAGGTTCCATTTGAAAGTATGTGTATGTATATCTTTTGCTTGCAGTCAGTCAGGTGTGCGTAGTTACAGCTGAGTGATTATATTTTTTACAAATGAAAGGAAATGCACATACAGGTCAAATTCTATCATATTAACTTGAATAAACAACAACAGTTAACAATTCAATTAAAATCGTTACATCAATACATTCTGACTCTAAATATATAGTCACGTGAGAACAAACTAAGGAGATTAGATGTACTACTTAACAAAATAAACATGACTTGAGAAAATATAATGGAATAAACTACTCACTCAATACACTTAGGGACAGAGGTGAATGATAGAGGGAACCAGCTGAACTGAAGGGCAAACAGAGAATGAGCTCAGAATACAAAACAAAAAACACTCAAGGAACCTGTATCACCTGCCCAGTTAGCACACCTGCGCTGCTGCTGCTGCTGCTGCTCTTTAGCCCAGCAGTCATATGACCCCACTTCCAACAGTATGCGTTATTTAAATCCAAATAAAAAAATGCAGTAAACTCATTTGCGTTTTCATTTTCTGAGCATTTTCATTTTCACATACTCATGAAGGCGTTCCGTTTTTCTTTCCCAGAAAGAAAAACTACAAAAGACGTATCATATCAGAAATATGCCATGTATATTTAAATATTTATAATGTTCAATTTATTATGTTCATGTTCATATTCTCCCCTATTGTTGCAGTTTAACCAAATGAACTATGCGTAACATACCATATTTAAAGTGTCGTAAAGTAGCCGCTGTTCACTACGACAGAAGCTCAAAGAAAATGGCATTTCACTTTTCGGCAACCTAGGCCTTCCGTTTATATTCTGCATAGTGATTTTTATACGCTAAACGTTAGCATTTATATCACCTGGATAGCGCTCATATTTGCTTAAATACAATGGGAATAGAGGAAGAAACGGACCGGACGCTCTTCATAAGAAATTTAGATCAAAGAGTGACGGAGGAGCTTTTGTTCGAGCTGTTTTTACAGGTGCTGTTGTCGCTAACAGTTAGCAAATGTCAAGTGTATGGCTAGCATAACACACGTAATGCTAACATCGCGAAAGCGATCTAGACTTGAAAGGGCCCCAATTGTTATTTTATGAAGTGGTAGGCTTTCGTGTGGCTTCTTTACTTATGTTGTAACGTTAGTGTTTGTTGTGCAGATACTGTGGATAATTTTAAGAGGTGTAATTGATTCCGTTATGGCAGCTAGTTGGCTAGCTAGCTATCAATAGTGTTAGCAGTTGACTGTTTGGGTACGACATTAATTGGTTGTTCTTACAGGCAGGACCACTCACCAAAACTAAAATTCCTAAAGACTCGGATGGGAAACAAAAAACATTCGGTTTTGCCGTTTACAAACACGAAGTGTCCGTGCCATACGCCATGCAGCTACTCGACGGGACATCGCTATTTGGGAGGACTATTCATGTGCAGTTCAGATCGGGTAAGTTTACTTTTTAAATGGCGAACAGTTTTTAAAATTTGACATGTACGCAAAAATGTTATGACATTTAGAATATAGCGGCATGGCTTGTCTTATCTATGTTAAATCAGTGAAGAATCACAATAAAGCAGTAACCTTTAGATGTCCTTTCACTTCATTTTCAAACATTTAAATCTCATTTAATCATGGAAATGTGGTCATAGCGAGTGCAGCTATTCCAGGAGTACGTAATTAAGGATCCTTTTCAATAAAATGTCCCCGTAACAAGTCTAAATTGTGATCTTTTTCATGTTGCTCTGTGTGAATGACAACTGGCCCTTAAAGCTCAGTTTCAGATTTCTAACAAGCTTGGTGCTGGAGATTCCTTCGATCCTCACATCATGCTTGTTCAAATGTGATTTATGTACCTGATCAGAGGTTATTATTAACAATAGTCAATTGAAATGGACCAGGCTGGAGCAATACTTAAGCCACTGTTTATTGCAATTGCTAATAATATCAATAAATGTGTTCTTTTTGTACAAGGAATCTAGTAGTTCATTGAAGTATAGACATTGCAGTTTTAATTTTCTTATTTCTAAAAGAAATTTATTTTATTTTCTCATTTTTTTATGTACCTCACACATTGTGACAAATAATAAAAGTACAAGATTGTTATACTTGCACTGTATGTTTGACAGTTATTTTAAAATTTGGATAGTATTCTCCTTTACTAATAAAGTGTGTTTTCTTCCATCATAGGTAGCAGTCATAGCAGCAGTCCAGGGAACTCGCAGAATTCAAGTCCTGCAAATACCCCAAATCCCCACGGCCAGAGGTAATAATGTCTCATGAACAGTTTTTGCCGCAGCTCCAGAAACAAAATCTGGTTAACGTGAGCATCAGTAGCGTTCGTGCAACAGCCGGCCCTTTCTGCCTCTCAGCCACAACTTGGTCTTTGTGTTTGTCCTATCTTTTAATTTATAGCTCTCCTTTTAATGGTTGTCAGTTGCAACTAGGGAGTGAGGCCTTACCACTAACTTAATGTCAAGAAGGTAGGATTTGCTGTATGAATGGTTTCAACATGGAGTCGAACTGTGTCAGGCAGTTGCAGTAACAGCATTACCACAGCACTGGTTGTTTCAAGCTGTCTGAACTGATTTGACAAACTGTATCAGTTGAAAGTGGATTTTTTTTATCAGTTTTAAATTTTGTAGCTAATTAGGCCAAATGTTTGTTACATTTAAAATTAATAACAATGTTCAGTCATTTCCTTCAACTGTTCCTTCATAAGCTTAAAAGTCGCTTTAAAAAATTTACTTAATATTTCTTAGAGGCATGTGATCATTTTTGCAGTAGTAGTATTTTTCTTGCATAGGATAGTAAGCTGTAATAACAATAATAGCAATTGCATTCCTATTTTTCGGGGCCTTGAATGCAACCTTTTTGCAATGTAGTTTTTCAGTAGTATTATGGAGGCATGGCACTACTATAATTCCTTACTGTAATTGCAACTACTTTGTGTGTGTGCCAAATATGCTCCCAAAGATGTTGGCTCTTTATTGACTATTACAAGTTTTTCATGATCTTGGCAGTGCCCTGTGTGCTAAAATTGGAGCTTTGACATAAGATGTGGCATGAAATGGGATTGGACCGGTCTGTATTTACACACATAGAAGACTCGGTATGCAATCCTTTCCATGTTTCATGCCAAATTTCATGCAGCAGTGCCTGTTTAGGGTATTTGCTGGAAGCTCTGAAAGTATTCGCATCAGAGTTGAACTAGGAAGTATCAGACCAGTGTTTATATATATATGTATATATATATATATTACATACATACATACACACACACACACACACATACACACGCACACACACACACACATACAGATGGGTGACAAATGGAAAGGAAAAACCAACATAAACTGTCTTAGTAAGTTGTTTGGCCTCCATGTGCCGCCAGAACAGTGTCAATACGCCTTGGCATTCATTCTACAAGTCTGTGAACTCTACTGCAGGAATGAAACACCATTCCTCCAACACATCGGTCCAAAAGGTGTTTAACTGGGTCGAGATTTTTACATATCACGCTAATGCACAAGCCTTACAGTCATCAAAAGTGTGCTGTTTTGACCACAATTTTTGACCCTACATAAATATTTCCCAGAGATCTAAATTCAGGTGGCATTTAAGTCACTGTGCCTATTGAAACCCTAGTCAGTTGAGCAGTCTGTGTGACTGAAGCTCTTGTCATCTATGCCCCAACAATGGTCCCTCTTTCAAAGTCTCTTCTCTTCCTGCTATCTTGATACAAAATCAGAATCAGCTGGACCCGCTCAGTATTTAATACCTGCCACAGAGCAAGATTGGTGGTAAATTACTCATGCTGTGCACCTGTGTGGAAGCATCTGCATTATGTTGCTCCACTCATTTATTCAGGTTTTTACTTTAATTTGTCACCCATGTGTATGTTTTGTCTGTAGGTCGTGCATTCTTCAAGGCTTATATGCTGTCAATATGTTCTACTATTATAGAAAAAAAAATGTTGAGACTAAGTCCTTGGTGAAATGATATGAGATAGTTTTAAAATAACATGACCGCAGCATTCTTTGCTGTCTTGTGGGATGATTGTAAAGAAAAAAGTACGCTTGTTTCAACCTGCTTCCCACTTCCTCAGTTTGGTTTGGCCAATTCAGACCTCTCTACATTACTGTGACTAACTTCCACCGAAAGCTTGGCTAACACAAAAATGAAAATAAATAAAGAAAACAAACCAGAAGTTTTCCAGTTGTGACCAGCCCACTGATTTGAAACATTAGTTGCAAATTCAGTTCCTTGGAATGGTCTGGCTACTCGGCTTCCTATCAGTGCTGCAGGACTTCAGATATTCTATTACAGATCTTGGCACTACACCCTTATCACTGAAAAAGGATGATTAATTTCTTGGCCTTTTCTGTTGTTGGACTAGGTAGTTGTTGGATTAGTTTGCATTTGCTGGTTCTTTACACCATGCAGCATGTTTGATAAAGGGGCTGTACTCTTGCTTAAAATGCTGTGATATGTTAATTTTCTGTGTTTTAAGTGTTTTCATAGCAATTTTTATATTGCCTCTTGATGAAGATTGTCGTGTGGTTAGATCACACATAATCAAAATATTATTAAAACCACTCAAGGATGGGCTTGTCATCTTCAGTATTGATGGATATACTGTTTTTTATTTTTCCAATGGCTCATTGCACATCTAGCTGAACATAGTGTGAACATAAGTGAATGTGACTCAAATGTTTTTTCATAAAGTGATAAAGGTCATAAAAGGCTTTCTATAAATGCAAAAGAGGTGAAATAAGATTAAATCATAAACAAACACATGAACCAAAAATCATTTAAATAATTAATGTTGAGAAGTGAAGTCATATATGGATTTTGCAAAATACATGGAATGTGCACCTGACATTATGTAGACTTGTTTTTGTTTTTTTATGATTAAGTGTTTGACAATGATTTTCTTTACTCTGCAGGACCCCAATCCAGTTCAGTTCTCCACCATATACTCCGCCCCAAATGCAGAGATCCTTTTCAACTCCCGATAATTTGCAGAAGCATGCCATGGTAAACTCTTTGGATTTTTACAGTGACACAGAACTGCACAGTAATGACAGAATTTTTTGTAGTCATTATTTAAGATACATTGTATAAAGACCTGCTCTCTGCTTGATTTGCGTCAAAAGGTACCTGTTCTCCTCAGTAACACATGAGGAAATGTTTACACATATCATAAGACAGGAATAGAAACAGGCTTTTTGGCTTCAGTGAATCGTATGAAACACAGGTCTTGTTTAACTGTCATTTCCCTTATCTGTAGATGAACAACCTGATGTGGCAGCTCCACATGCAGCAGCTTGAGCAGATAAATGGCAGCTTCTCCAAGCCTCTACAGAGGCAGCCGACTGCAAGCGGAAATTCTGGTGGAGGTGGCTCAAGGCAACATGATAATGTCCCCTACCGGCATCCGTCCCACACGAGCAGTGGCGCTAGAAACCAGCGCTATGCAGATGACTCAAGTTCCGGCCGACAACAGCAACACAGCCACAGCCGGGACAACTATCACCATCAGAGCGACAGGAGCGGCAGCCGTCACCATGACAGCAGAGGTGGACACAGACATCACGACGACAGAGGCAGCAACCGTGGCTACCAAGATAATAGATGGCGACGGTACTAATACATGCTAAGGATTTCTGTAAAGACTTCAGTTCTTCACAGATTTGTGCGCAGCTTCCTAAAGAAGAGCATGAATTTTGTTGATAAATTCACATGTATACTCAGGTTGTTTGTACATGATCCTACCAGTTTGAAGATTTAATAATCCAAGCCTTAGAGCCATTTTTGTTTACTTTTAAGGCGTTTTTAAATTTGTAAATTACTTTCATGTGAGTATTTCCTCACAGATGTCCCTCTATATATTTAGAGGGGAAGAACTGTCTTAGAGCAAGGACAAAAAAAAAAAATCAGATATGACTGGTTTTCATATTTGGAAGACATGTAAACAAAAAAAAGATTTAAGATATTGGCCAGTTTTTATGTTATGCAAATTGTATTTAAATGGTGCTCTCAGAATTTTTAAATCTTCAGGTATTTTTCAAAACAGAACGAGTGTCAGCTAAATATTTCACCAGCACCACTATTACTGCAATAGGGCACCATCCTTTCTTATTGTTAGATTAGTTGACCTTGCTCTTTCTAAAAATGGCTTTATTTTATTTTTTTATTCTGAGTCTGTATGACGAACTGTTTTACAAAAAACATTTTCATTCTTATAAATCTCCTTTCATTGACTGTTGCATTGTCTTTCATCTGGCCACAACACCAATGCCTGGGTCTTGGCTGTACATCACGAATGCTATTTACAGCTCTTTGTATGTGCGACCGAGTTAACCAAGTGAACTATTGTATGTTGATGCTACATGCTGTAATGCATGCACACATGGCCTTATCTGCACCTATAAATGGCCCATGTGTAACTAATACACTTGTGCAGTGGGTTATGGAGTAATCTACAGGTGGCGCCACACACATCCTTTCATTGAATCAATTAAGATGTTAAATATATCTGAGCCACATGATCAGCTCCTACATTTGACCTTTCTATTTAGGATGCTTTCAAGTCTTTACATGGATTTGTCACCATCTCTGTTCACTTTACAACATGCAATTATGTTTTGGTTTACTTGTTCAACAGAGTGGAACACAGTGACATCTTGTTCTCTTTTATTAGGAGAGTCTTCACACCACTTTGTTAAATGGCACAGGTTTGGGTCAGTTTACAGGTTTTAAAGATGTCTATTGCTCCATCCCAGAATTAGCAGCGCTTTGATCCTGAACATCTCATATTGCCATCAGCCTTTCAGCATTGATGCCACAGTGTCTTTGTTGAGGCTTGCTTACTACAAAGTCATGATCAAATCCCTTAATGTCCGTGTTGAGGTCATAATCTACCCTTCCGAAAGTGCTTATGCCACTAGCAGCGACTCCCGCACTGTATCGATAACTATATCCCCCTGTAAATCTCCCGCTGTCCAAAAGTGGAGGTGCATTTGCACCCTCTGCCCTAAGCTCTGTGTCTTGACTGTAATCTGCCTCGTGTCAGATTGCATCATGATGCTACCAAATGGCTCTAATAGAGAGTATCCTCTGCTCGGTGTCAGTACTAGGAAGGCCCTTATCACGCTTCTGGCTTCGGCATAGCTCTTTTAATTGGTTGATCTGCCTGGCGTCTCCAGCCCTGGAGCGGGCGGATTAGAGAGGCCGCTCAGTAGCCGCTGCTGTGTGGACTTATATAGAAGCGTGTCTCCTGAAATGATCCACTTCCAAACACCCGGAGACCCTCCCTCTCCTGTAGCAGCCCCGCAAACCAAACCTCAAGTGACAAGATGCCTGCAGCCGCATTTCCCGGATCTTGGCGCCATGCACCTCCAGGTTGTTGAGTTCATTGGTCCCTCATTAGCCCAAGAACTACTCGGTCACAGTCTGTCTTTTCATGCAATCTTCTTTTCCTCAAGATAGGTGAAAATTCACTTTCAATTTCATGGAATTATCACATACTTGATAGGACTTGCTTAAAGCAACAATTGCAGTTAAATTGTCAGACTACATAAATTATCGTGACGCTTGATTCAAAATAATGGCAGGTGGGTGATTTACAGTGAAATTGTCTTATCAAAAAAACAATTTTAGTTTCATTGTTTTTGGATTAAATTGATAATACTAAATCTGAGGCGAATAACACCCTGCTTTATTTATTTATTTTTTTGTTTGCAGTGGCCTCTCTCTCACTCTCTCTCCACCCGCCCCTCGAAAAGTCAAATGTGCTCCACAGCAGTTGTTCTCATCTCCCTCCTCTTTGATCAAGCCAGCAAACCTCTGAAAAGAACCCGAGCTTTCTCATGCAGAGCTCCCATATTTCCTCCTCCATAATCCTCCTCTACACTTTGAACACGGCGCCTTCGACAGCCACAAGCCGCCAGCGAGTTAAATTTATTTCCAATTCTTGTGATGATACTCGTTTCCCCCTTTAGCACACTGACGTTTCAAAGTTTGAACATGAAACTCCACATGCACCGACTTTCCCCACATAAACGTATTTAGTTAAATGACAACATGTAAATTAGACTAACTAAAAAATATGCCCCAAACTCTTTATTACTCTACCTCCTCTTCTTAGTCTTTCAAACAAGTAGCTAATCTCCTCAAAACTACAACATCTAAACAGAAAGTAAAACAGCTACAACATTGGTCTAATTTTATTGCACTACAACCACCATTAATAGCCAGATTTATAGAAAAAATAAAACTATAAGAAAAGGGCACAAAAGGTCTTTGTCAGGGATAAAGCATATGGAGAGATTCAGCCTGTCAAGTGAATTGAACGTGCTGGTATGTGAGCTATTTCCTCACATTAATGTCAGACTCATCAGCCCCTGGCCGATACTGATAGCCTTTTCTTCCAGCCTTTTTGATCTGACTGACAAATACATTTCGTCGTTGAATATTGTGAAACTTGTGCTGCGCTAAAACTAGAACTTGGAAAAGGAATTACAGGCGCTCCTGCGGGTGTTTGACGGCGTTTTATTTGAAATAATATTTGAAATACGTCGTTAGAAATACAGTTTTGTTTTTTATTCGGCTTGCCTTCGTGCCGTGTGCACACGTACGCAATTAGTGATTAATAATAACTTACACCTGCGTCAGTTTGCTTGGCAAGTCAGTAAAGAAAATGACTTGGCCTTAAAATACAGATCTGACTCCTGACATTTGGCTCCTTCAGAAGTAGGAAGCTTATGTGTTTTCTTGTATGAAAATAATACCGTTTCAATAACAAATAACTTATTATTGTTATTATAATATAATAATAATAATGATAATATTAATAATACTTATTGGGCTGTTATACAAATAATAGCCTAAGAGTACTATTTAGATTATGATAACAACCTTTATGAAGTTTAGTCCATCATTCTTAGTCATGTCGTCTATCTAATCTTTAACTTTAACCTTACTTAAAATTCTTTCTGCTTGCGACATAAGAAAGAAAGAATGAAAAAAAAGTTTTATTCACCACTGTTGCGCTTACTGGATTAATTCGCCTTGGTATATTGTAGGCTACTTCAAGTTTTTCTGTTTGAGAACAAAGTTAAAATATGAAATACATTAGATTCCACATTGTCTAAAGCAAACCTAGAATGAAATCAGTTATTAGTTGTATTAGTTGTTAATAAGAACAAAAGTTAGAATTGGGTTTATCAATAGCTAAATTAATAAAGATAAATAATAATTAAAAAAAAAAACATCTGAAAAAATACAAGGTACAGTGTTAGTTAGTCACAGGGGTCTTTTCATTTGATCTGATACTTTGATTATGATAATACTAGATTTATAATAGACTATTTGTAGTCCTATTGATTATATTAACCTTTACTCTGAAAATATCTCCCAATTCTGATCAAAAACGTAACTTTTTAAAGTTGAATTGACAACTCGGGGGAACTAAAATGACATCATGGAAAAGGAGAAAAAAGTTTATTTTTTTTTAGTTGTGGGGGGAGTAGGCTATTTGGGAGGTGGCCATGTGCATGTACAGTACATACATGTATTTGTAAAAAAGAGAGAGAGAGAGAGAGAGAGAGAGAGAGAGAGAGAGAGCTGGGATAGATGGAGCAGCAGAGATGTGTTCAGGGATGGTTTATATAGCAGTGGGTGTGAGCACACGTCGTCGTCAGTTCATTCCCACTGTGGCGCTCTGCGCAGCTCAAGTTGAAGTCTGCTGCTCGTCTTCACCACGACACCTGAGGGAAAGCCAAGCTGCATTTTGAAAGATAAACAATGAGTTATTTAAACGCGTGAACTCCGGTAGTCGCGTTTTCCACACGGTTCAACCTGCATAAGCTTCGATATTACTGAACAGACACATTGTGCAGCGAAGGTAGTGCACGGCGCACACGGGCAGATCATGCACTGTCAAGCCGAGTTGAGGCTCTCCTCCCCCGGGCAGCTGAAGGCTGCCAGGCGGCGCTACAAGACTTTCATGATTGACGAGATTCTCTCCAAGGAGACTTGTGATTATTTTGAGAAACTTTCTCTTTATTCGGTGTGCCCTTCACTCATTGTTCGGCCGAAGCCTCTTCATTCATGTTCGGGTAAGAAGGCTGTTTTTTTTTCTTCAACTAATTAAAAAATACATGAATTAAAATTAGAAAACATAATTGAAAGGCCATTATTTGCACTTGCAGATTTGTGGGAATTTTTTACGCACGAACGTTGTGACACTTTTACGCATTAGGTCAGTTTTATTTTGATATATCTTTGTTTTAATTTGAAATGTGAATTTGAAATTTGGTTTGCAGTGCAAAATCTCAAAAACTAATATCAGTGAAATGTGTATTGGACGTTTGCACTTGTAAAGTTTGTGTGGTGCCATAAAGTTGTAAATGTAGTTGTATTAAAAAAAAAAATCACGATTCAGTGCTTACCACAGTGCAAATGAAAATAGTGATATTTGTACCGATTACAGTGCATAATCTGCTTAATTGGTCGTGTGGGTTTGCATTGTTATTTAATAATTTATTTCAAGGGATTAGTTTAAAATGAATCATAATTAATTCATGCTGACTCCTAATTGAAGGGGCTCCAGCGACTTCACCTTCCTCACACTGGTCTTTATAAATCACAGCAGCTTAAGAGTTTAGTGTTGAAAATCAGAGTCAGTGAACGTCAGTGATGCTTAAGAGCGTGATGATAAATGACTGAACTGATAAGTCTGTGTGTAGTTCCATATAAAAGTCAATTAAGTGGCAGTAGGACAGACAATAAAGATAAAGTCAAACCTCACTCTACTTGCCCCTGGTTACTAACCTGTAACCTTTGGTCTATTTGATATCATTTGCTTTGATTAATATGGTTGTTCTGCTAAATCAAAGATCTTTTCTAATGAGTTTTGCTGCTGCTGGACATTTGCAGATGGAAGGATTATGTCTTGTTATTGTTCTAATGTCACAAAAAACCCAGAACTGTGAACAAGAATGTCGATTAAACCTTGAAGTCTGAAGTACCACCATATAAAAACACTGATAAAAGATAAATAACGCCGCACATTGGTGTATCTTGATTAATGCTGGAGGAAATAGGACAGAAACTTAAAAACTACTTAGATCAACTGCCTATGCTGTAAAGCTGATTATGTTGATGTTAATAATTTCTGTCTAGATAGATAGATAGATAGATAGGGTTTAGATATGTCTTGTACATTTATCACCAAAATAGCAGACAAAGCTGAAATGGCAAAGCACATGTTATCTTGTCAAAAGAAAACCTCTTGACTGACACTTAATTGTAATTCCAGTTGAATCCAAACAACTCAGGGGCTACTGCACACTCTAGTAACCATTAGGATAATTGCTCTAAAGTCTGAAATAATAGCCACTGCAATTTGATGATGACAGCGGTGGGTGGATAAAAATAGGCGAAGCGATTCCCTCATCCCTCTGATATGGATTGGTGTATGCTAGAGGGCACTATGACTGGGCTTTGGCACCCCTCTGTTCGGATGGATAGAGTAACCCGCCTTGCATATCAGAACACTGTGCCCACCACTTATTTGTAGCAGCGGGGGTGTGAGACACAGTATATTCCCCAACATCAATGGCTTTTAGTGCTTGATATAGAAGCTGGCAGGCTTACAGGTCCTGGGCCAAAGAGTGGTGTCTGGCCCCTGCGTGGTCCCTTAACAATGAAAGTTGACTTACTTCTTCATTCTGCAAAAGAGGGGATGCTATAACCACGTACTACCAGCGGAGGCCGCTAAAAGATAGCGATGCCAATAATGTCTGAAGGAGTTGATCACAACTTAATTGTTGGTTTTATATTATTTATATGCCACTCAAACATACCAGCTTAATGATCTTCCTGCATTTTTCCATGTCAGATTTCTTTTAATCTCTCCCAGTCCATCACTCCATTTTTATTTGTCTGTTGAAATACATCATTTTGTACATTAAAAGTGGCTAATACTCATGGAGTTGATTCCTTGTCAGTTACAGCAGGATCAGAGACAATGAGCTCAAACTGGTGCTGAACAGTGAACGACGTAATGGCAGGTTACAATATTTCATTTGGAGTCGTGTCTCTCAGCAGGACCCAGGGAAGGGCTTTTAGTGGTGTTCTCTGGAAGGAGTAGAGAGATTAAGATCAACTGAGGTATAATCTCACTTGACAGCATGATGAAAAATAAAAACAAGAAAAAAAAGTAGGAGTGTGTGTGCAGCCTGAGGGCCGCTGCTTACTGGTTTTGTACTGGCTGAGGGCTTATAGAAGAAATCCAAGTGAGCAAAAAGGGTTTTCATCGGCATCTTAAAACCTAATCTTCTGCAGACAATAAAGTCTCCCATTAAGCATAAAGCCGTCTTGAAAAGGTTGATTACACCCGTGTCAACACACACAGGCAAGTACGCACACACACAAAGACAAAATCTGTACACATCTTCCATCTGCAGTTAAGAATAATGCTTGACATCCTGTCATCTCCTCATCATTTCCACACAACCACTGCCATCAGATGTTTCTGTTGTGACAAAGGATCAGTAATAAATCGGCTCTAAAAGCAGTTCATGCTACAGGCTGATTCCAGCTGCCACAGGAAGACCTGTGTGGATCAGGTTTCACATTAAATAGTTAACGCTTATGTTTAATGTAATGCCTTTTGCTAGGAGCACAGCTTCAGCTGGAGAGGTTTGTCACTGTGTCTGGGAAACTACTGACATTACATTCAACAAGATGCTCTTGATTTGTTAACAATAAACATTAAATTGCTCTTATCTGTCATGTCCTGAACGTGAATGCTTTTAATTACAGCAATGAGTCAGCACAGATAAAGAAGCTGCATGGCTTATTGCCCCTCCTACCATGACAAAAACAACAAAAATCTGTTTAATTGAGCATCTCTCAAGGTGTCACCAGGTAGTTTATATCAAAACCATGGCAAAAGTTCACATACTCTTGTCATAGCTGAACTATGAATCATCAGCTTCCCACTGAAAAAGAAAGAGTGTGAGAAGTGCAGATGTTATAACAGGGTGCAGGGAAAGCTCTATACCTTCCAGAAGTTGCTGCATTGATGCAGGTGTAAAAGTAAAATCTTTCTCCAAATAATCATTTAAAATATAAAAAATATGCTCTTTTTAAATAAGGATTAGGCCCTAATGACGATGTAATCAATAGAACAGATTGTTGGAATTAAAAGGAATGCTCAACAAAGAGCTCCTCTTGATCTATTCTTAGCAGGTATGTCTTCTGTAATGGTTACCAGAAGCACTTGTGCCAGTCCCTGCATTCCGACTGTGATTATCAAGAGTATCAGTGTGCTTTTGCATGGGCCTGAGTTGCGCTCTTGCAGTTACTCAAACAGTTTATTTGTAGACTACTGACAGGACACTGGCACTTGTCAACAACATGTCAGAGACACGGCTTCGCTGTCAGTGGAAAGTCACGACGAGGGCTGACATTTCCCTCTTTGCTCTCTCTCTTTTTCTTTCCGTCTCTCGCACTCGCTCTGAGGGACTGTCCGGAGACAACTTCAAGCTCTTTGTTGACAAGAGATTTCCTGACGGTCCTGAAGACGAACAGATTTTTTTTTTTCTCATTCAGAATGAGATGAGTGATACTTTCACTTCACTTTTGTACCATTGCATACATCATGATTCCATAAATGTTCATGCAAAATTCCTCCTATAAAGGAACACAAACATTAAAGCAGATGATTCATTGATATCAGAAAAGCTAACATTGATACAGATCAGATTTTACAGAGAGAAAAACTGAGAGCAATATTAATGGAAAGGTTTGAGAGCGCACAACCACAGAAAAGAGGTCTTCTTGTCTAGACCTGTTGCAACAGCGGCAATCTAATGCTGGAGGATTACTGATGACCTCAGCGCCTTACTATGATGTCATGATGAGCCCAAGGCAGTGTCTGGTGTGTGTGTGTGTGTGTGTGTGTATAGAGCAACTGTGCCTACTTGTGCAGCACTTAAACTCCTCATGCTTGACTTACATCGAATAGTGGGGTTTATGGTGTATCTGTGGACAGTTTACATGCAGGCCATGTATTAATGTGCTGTAAGGTTAGAAGAGTAGACGTGTTCCACCTTATTTTTGAGTCCTCCCTCTTTAATATCCAAATTTTATCAGTGACCTTAAGGGAAAAACTGTTACAGCTGCTGTAACTGACAGATAACTGCCAGGGAATAGCAAGAAAAAAAAAAGAAAAAAAAAATCAAAGTTAGGGTCTGACTTTGTCTCCTCTGGGCATTGGTGTATATGTGTGTGTCCATGCATACATGTTGTCTGTTACAGCCAATGAGGAGATTAAGGAGGCAGCTCCACCATAGACAGCCTGGAACACACACGCTTTGTGTGTTGGTGTGTGACAACCTGCTATTTTCTCTGCTCCATTGCAGCCTTTTATCTCGCTCTATATCTTCCTCCTCTGCTCCTATAATCCCCCTCCCGTGTCCCCTCTGCTGCACCTTATCAGCCCATGCATTACAGACTGTGCTGTTCTCAGTTTGCTTGTAAATTTTGGTTTAGGGATTGGTTTTATATTTGAAGCTGTAAGGATTTTTCTGGCAGGTATTTTATTCACTTTGGTTGACCCACCGCATCCTCTCGGCCAACCTTCTGGTCTCCTTTCCTCCCGCCTCGGCTCCAGACAAGTGTTACTTTTTATTGATTCTGGCGTCTTGCTGCTTCTGTCTGCACTGATAAAGAGTAAAAATGTGTGTGTATGCGCGTGTGTGTTTGTATACGACTGTGCACACGTGCAAGAGCGAGAGAGATTGTAAGAGAGGGAAAAAAAAAGTTTATTACTTGAACAGTCTTTGATTTAGTTTTCTGGATTTTATTACAGCTCAGTCTGCGTCTGAATGCGTCTGTGTTAGTGTGTGTGTGTTTGTGTGTGCTTGTACGTCATGCTGTCAGGTTCAGTGTGTGCTTGTGGTTTTGTGTTGGGAAGCCGGTTAGCATTTAACAACCTCTGAAAAATAATCATTCATTTGAAGAGTTCAGAGGAGCGGTGTAAAACACAGCCTGCGTCATCGAGATCACAGCCCTCTACATGGAGGAGGTCAGAAGCATAACACTTTTCACAGCAAACAGAGTGTAATTAAAAATAAACCTGTCGAAGCAATTACAGGCGGTGGAGAATGGTACAACCAAGGTGACAGAAGAGACAATGATTCAGTAGGATATCTAATCTTTCTCCTTTTTTTCCCCAGCACTGTACTTTAACGCATTTCTTTCTGTTTCTGTCATCTGACGCACTGTCTCTGCTCTTCCAGGCTCCTCGTCACTACGTGCCTATCCGCTCCTCTCAGTCATCACGCGGCAGCCTCCCAACCTGCCCCCCCACCTCCCTCAGCCGTCGTCTCCGGGCGGGGTCCCCTCGCACCTGTCCTTGCTCTCCCCGCAGCATCCACGAGGCTCGGAGCCTTCGCCCAGCCAGACGCCACTCAGCATCAGCAGTGAGTCGGAAACGGAGCGCAGCACGCCCCGCCTGAAGAAGCCGCGTCGCAGCCGCACCATCTTCACCGAGCTGCAGCTGATGGGCCTGGAGAAGAAGTTCCAGAAGCAGAAGTACCTGTCCACACCAGACAGGTCAGTATAGTTCAGACACTCACATCTTATTGGACAGATTCAGTTAGACTAGGTGGATTAGATTAGGTAGATTTGGGTTGCAACACACACACACACACACACACACACACACACACACACACACACACACACACACACACACACACATACATAAAAAGCATAAAAATAAATGGTAAACCTAACCTCATAGTTAGATTACCTAAAAGGATTTTGTGACCGAGTTACATCATAGAAAGCAAACCACTCATGTGTTAAAGCTAACTTACATCACAGTTATTAATTTCAAGCTGAAAGCTACCAGAGTCGTATAAGCGTCACTCAACTGTGACATTTTATAATCTGCATACCTGGCATTGAGTGAGAGAAAGTACAGTGCAAGCACTCGCACACATTCACAAAGCCACAAGCACAGTTATCAAGAGGTGGCAAACCTAACATCATAATTTTTGATTTATCCCGTGGGGAATGTCTCTGTAATGTGAATTTGTCTAAGCCAGGGCATTACCTCAGGGCATTCTAGTTGAGACAGGAGTAACGTTTTAACCCTGAGCTCTCGACCAGCAAAAAGCTCCAACAAAGAAAGACTGCCTTATTCAAGAAAAAAGGGACGGTGGCCAACACAAGCAAACAGGAACGCATTACATTGATTTACTGCCAATCATTTCACACATGTGCAGGTGTATATAAAGTACATTTAGCTTTCTACAATAAGATGAAGTAATCTACATATTAATATCTGTGTCTTAAGTTCCACTCTCTGGGTCATTTTTGGGACCTGACATGAGGTTAGACCATATTTTCCAGTTTTATTGTACGCCTCACTTTTACATTTGGCCTGCAGGCTACTTTTCCATTATAACCCAGAACAGTATTGAACCATAAATGTTGTAAAAAAAGCTTCACTTCACATGTGCAGTAGGAATTTCAAACTGCTTGTGAACCTTTGCATCAGGTAAAGACTGGCTGTATTTGTACACTCCACCCACGTTACTCAGTTATGTAGGCATGGAGAGTAAATCAGTGGTGATTAAAAACATAAATAACTGGCTTCATGTACAATATGTTCACGCACTTAGACATGCAAACAGCTCCACTTTCCTCACAGGCATCTCAAACATTGTATCCTCTTTGCAACGTATCTGCTTACCACATCTAATCTGAGAAGACATTAGCATATTTGGAATAAACCAGATTTATTTGTCATTCCATTTACATCTCGTCCGAAGGGAAAACTCCCACGATGCATTATTAAATATGGCTTGACTTGCCTGGAGCTTTTGGAGAGGCGCCATGCTTCATCTTAAAGCAGGAGCCCCGAGGCAGAGCACAACCCAGTGATCAAAACCAAACACCCGTGTGGATGGCTGTGCCAAAATACTGCGTCCTGTCAAAATATCTGATTCTGACACTGTGTTGAAAATTAATTAAATATCCTGCTCGTGGAAAAACATCAACAGAGAAAATCCCCTTTTAAAACCCCACATCAAAGGTGTGGCGTGCTCCCCACTTTGGTTTGTTATGATCCAAAGATAACTTCACTTTTCTCTTCCTTTTCTTGGCATGAAAACTCTGTGGTTTTGAATTAAGACTGAATGCGTGTGTGTGTGTGTGTGGTGGTGGGGGGGGGGGCAAAACCAAAACAATCCCTGATTAAGACTTTTTAATCACTTATGTCATAGACCAATAATGATTTTACGCAGGTTCCAATTATAATAATTAGTGATTTAATAATCCTCACTGTCATCATCATCATCATCATCATCATCCTCAGTTACACCCAAGATTCTCACCTTATGAAAGGTGTGAGAATGGAACAAAATGGCGGCCTTGCAGTAGCCCAGAGGGAGTAACTCAGATGCTGTTTCTATTAATATAAGTGTGTGGTTTTTCTCCATTCAGAACTAATAACCATAAATAAGTGGGGTGTTTTTTTCCTTCTACAATTACTTTTCCTTGCCTCCAGTCGTTGCCCTGCTATAGACTGGAGCACATATGATAGTGAAGTTTGATAGACAGTTTGATTGCCTGTATGTCTGGGTTTTTTTTTTTATTTTTTACGAACACACACACAGAAAACACACACACACACACACACACACACACACACACACACACACACACACACACACACTAACACACACAGCTCTTTCTATAAGGTATAAGGTTATGTAGAAGATCCCATGAATCTCAGGGATTTGTTGTTGCTCTGCTTTTTCGATTCCATTCCCTCCTTTTCTCTGTCTCGGCTTGCACTTTCACCATCAAATGAAACACAGTTCCTTTCATTGGGGGGTCGGTGGGGATGAGAAACCCTTCATCTAACTGGTTAAGACTTTGAGAAGAGCAGGGAGGAGGAAATCTCATTTAAAAAAAAAAAAAAAACCTGATAGTCGCTCCTTTCCTTTTTACAAATGGATGCCTTGCTCACTTTATCTGTCCCTTCCTGAGGTATCACATTTCGCACCAACCAATAGCCCTATTAGTCATGGATCAAGACATGTGGTGGATGCATTCAGAATTTTCTCCAAGAGCCCCAATCATCCAGCTACAAGTGCGGTGATTGGATTACTGACCTCGGTACAGATGTTTCAAACACTGTTTCCTTAGCTGCAGGTGTACAGTGTCAGACTCGAACTACCACCAAACCAACTTTGATGTGACATTCAAAGACGGAGTTAAGGGTCTAAGAGAAGTATTCTGTGCTTAAGGTTGCAGTGCCGGTAACATCTAGACACAAACCTGCATTACTGTATATACTCAGTGGAAAGTGGTAATTAGTGTCGAGGTTAAAGCGTGTGAATAATATTGTGTATGAAAAGTGTATGAGATGTCCATCTAATGTGAAGCTTGCTTTGTTTGTGTGATTCTGCAGGTTAGACCTGGCCCAGTCTCTAGGTCTCACGCAGCTTCAGGTGAAGACATGGTACCAAAACAGGCGTATGAAGTGGAAGAAAATGGTAAGTGATAGCACCACAGTAGACCCTTTTCTTACTCTTATCCTAAACCTCCTCTACTTTTTTGCCACGAGGTGCGTGATTTATGAGATTTCATCATTAGCATATTCAGCGCCCCTGAAACTGCCACATAAGGCAGCCTGTTCTGCTGTGTTGCAGACTTCATTCCCAAAAATGTTAACCAAAGAATAAAAAGACGAATTGTACCCCACAGTGCTACAAGTCCTGCTGTCAGAAATCAGCAGGCAAAAAGACATTTAGCAGAATCATTAGTGGTGTTAGAGGACACCAAATTATTGGAAAATATTAATAGTACAGCTGGCAACCGCATGTCATCGGTGTAGCGTTATGCTGTGACAGAAATATGGTTTTACATTTAGTTAGATGCTACATATGATCTTTCTAAAGCAATGCAGTCCATGACTAATACGAGAGGCGGTCAAGGGTCATGACAGTCATGGAGATATTACACGAGAGAATTAAAAAAAAGTTTAAAAAGAAGAAGCTTGAACAGGGGAAAGCATAAAGACTCTGACAGGCAGCTTGTCTGTACATGACTCCTACAGCAGGTCAGGGCCCCTCGTGACTTTCATCCATATGTCACAGAAAATTTAAAATACGACAAAATTGGTGAACGCCACAAAGTCTTTTAAATCACTCGTATGTGCCACCTAAGGATGAATCTGTTTGTATGAGTATAAAAAATCCTCTGAGCAGTCATTTCTTTATTTGTTTTTGTCACACTTAGGAAGACAGCTTTTTATTTCTTCTAAAAGTATGGATTTAATTTTACTGCTAACCAACTGTTGCATATAATGTTGGTTTGCTCTATAAAAGTGAGAGAAGCAAATGGAAGGTCGCGATAGGGTGAGGAAAGACAAAGTGTGGTGTGAGGTGTGACCGATGATGACGGCAGTGAGAGCAAACACTTTTGTAGAGGGGTCAACAGCTCAGAGAACAAAAAAAGGGCTGAAATCGTTAAAGATAAATGAGTGCACAAGGGGCAGCCAGCAGCAATATGTCTTTTCTTAATTACCATAATAGCAAGCATTGCCTTCGACTGCTGCTGCCATTTATCACCAGAGGAGTCCACTGAGATTGTCTACGTGTTGTCCTAGGTGCTCAAAGGAGGTCACGAGGCCCCGACTAAGCCCAAGGGTAGACCCAAGAAGAACTCCATTCCCACCACAGAGGAAATAGAGGCTGAAGAGCGAAGAATGAAGATGGAGGAGGAGGAGAGGATGAGGAGGGCGGCCGGGGAAGCGGCACTGGCTCATGGAGGAGAGGCGTCTCAGCTGGAGCCTCAAGATCTCAGTTCAGAAACTCACAATCCAGCCAGAGTGATGGAGGAATCTGAGCGAGAGCTGCCGCTCCTGCTGCAGTCAGAGACTCAAGCAGACAGCTAAGTGAGAACAAAGCAACCAAAGACTAATGACAACCTGAAAACAAATAGTGCCTCAGGATCACTGTATAAAAAAAGCCTGTGTGGTGTTTAGAGCCATTTGCTTTAGGGATTTGACTGGAAACATATCTGTGGTATCCAATCGTTACCTAACGTAAGCCTTTTATTTTGTATGTACTTGAAAATGTACCATACAAAGAGCTAACACGCATAGACACTGATTGCACTGGTAAAACTTTGGCCTTTAGTCCACAGTATAAGGAGTGTAAATCTGTCAGATCCAAACAGGTCAGTCAAGCCTTAATCACAACACAGTGACATGTGTCACAACATCTACTCATTGTGCTTTTCAACCGTGAAAGATCACAAACAGCACTGATCCTCAAACCTGCCTCATATGCATGTGCCAAAATATCAAACTTTGCCTTACTGTAGTGTCTCTATGTATTTATGTATCATAAGTCACTCCTCACTGCCAAAAACTATAATATTAAATGGCTACAGTGCCTTGTCGGTCTCAGAGGAAAGCTTTTAAAGTGTTGATAAAAATAACTATCAAATGCAAGTATATTTTTTACAGTGATTTTTGATTACAAGTGCTGTTTTCGGAGACAGAGTTGTAAAGTTTAGATTGGAGTTCTTCTGTACAGCTTTAAGGCACATGTGCAAATGTGTTCATTATTTGCTCAGTAATGCTTGCATTTTTTTTATCAACCTTAAAATCAATATTTCTGCCAAGCCATACACTGTATCATACTGTAGAAATATGTATAAAGTATAAAATATATGATCTTTCGGATATATATGTAAAACAGTATTTTTAACTGCTGTTTTAAATTGGATTAAAATAGTTTGTATGTATAATGTTACAGCCGTCCCTTATCTTTTTTCTTCCTTCTTTCATGAGAGTCAGGGCGACTCTGCTTTCTGCCACGAGTTCCACTAAGACTCTTAAGCTGTCACAGATTCTCAGAAGGAATAAATCACAGCCTGTGCCAGAGATGCTGAACATTTAAAATCTCAGATGTTTTCAGCTTGCAGGCTTTGCATGAGTACCCCAATCAGTATGTTAGACCTGCGTTAACATAACACTGTCTTCAACTGCCTGTCACTGACTTCTCTATAAACTTCAAACTCCTCTTTCTTTCCTTGCAAAGATTTGTAATATTAAAGAGTTTCACTTTTTGAATCATACAGATTTATTTTTATTTGTTATTGTTCCATATGAAAAGTGCAGTATTTTTCTGATGTAAATAATGCTCGTTTGGTAAGCTTGTTTGCTTGTTTTTTTTAGGTTTGTGTAAAATCATTTTTACCATATACAAGTGCGTGTTTATGTATTTAAATACACTTAATAAAATAGCTATCATTTAAGTTGTGTTTGGTTTTATTAAGGTGCAATTGCTTTGAATTTGTTTGATAAAATCCTGTTTTTACTGTGTTTCCTTATTCCTGGATTCAACCTTAAACTTCATATCTGACATGCATCACGCTGCTGCTGGTTTTGCATGCTTTGCATATGTAACCAGAAACTCAACAAACTATTTTTGCCTGTTTATTTTGGCGTGTCTCTAATGAAAGCAGTTCAACTACAAATTAAAGTTACGTACAGGATGTCTATTATATGACTCTCTGGATAATTCTCGGATGCACTGTCACGTCATGCTAAGTGTGTATAAATCAAACAGTTACAGTAGCTCTGGCAGGTTGAAGTTCAGGCGGATCCATTACTGAGGAAGCTTTTGAAGATGTATTAGTCGTAGTCAAAGTTCACCATAAATCACATTCAAGAGAACAAAGCATTTAAGCACCCCATGTTGTGACATTTATCATCTTTATCTGTACAGCAAACAAGACGGCCTGCAGTGCACCTAAGGGCTCCTCGTGACCCTGAGCGAGTGAGGAACAGTCTAAAGTGTATTTTTAGTACCTGATACCGGACATGGATGATTTCTAAAGCAAACAGCAGAGGTTAGCATTGAGTGATGTGTAGTGTGCTTTAACGCCTTGTGTAAACACACTCAGTATGCTACATATGTGTGTGCATTCAACAGCAGAAGCCCCGGCACTTCTTGGAAGTATGATTAAACATTTTACTTTGGTGTTTTGTTACTGAAGAAAGTCAAACTCACTCCCTCATTACAGTTTTTCTGCTGTACAGTGATCAGATATACTTTATATAGAACATTTCCTTGTCTCTTGTTTAGAATTTTTATAAAATATTTTTCAAAATCCAAAAGTTAATTTCTGATCATTTTTATTTTGTATTCCTGTTTCAGCCAAACTATCAGCATAATTATCATCTCAGCATAATTAGTGAGTGTGATTAATGTGAACATGAACAGATATGAGTAGGAGTTCGTTATAATTTACTTGTCAGGAATAAAACATCATAAGTTGATGATGATCATAAGTTTTCAACAGAATGTAAATAACAAAAAGAACAACTGTAAAAAAAAAAAAAACAATAGAAAATATTTTTTTAAATGATACTAATAAAAGCACTAGGTGTCGATACAGTAGGAACATTAATGAGTTTGTCAGTCAAACAGTACTCTTACAAACAATGCAATGCTTCCAGTGTTGTCATATTAGTCATTTTTTTAAACAATACTGAACAACTATCTCCAACTCCAACTTAAAGGGGACGAGGAACACAACTTGTATTATCAACTGCTGGCATGTACAGTAGTTATTTGTTTGGAACGTACTAAACTTTTATTGTTTAGACTTGGATGAGCCAGGCTTATGTAGCCTCACCTGCAGCTTTGCCACCTGGTTGAATTAAGACTGACTAATAACAGAATCCTTTGAAGCAGGTACGGCAGTGTATCTGCACCAATTGCAGGGAATGAGTGCAAACATTTTCCTATTAAATATCCCTGTGAAAAGAGAGGCTCTGGCTGGCAGGCAGGGAGGCAGGTCTGCAAGGAACCGCACTTTGCAAGTCTCCACAGGCTGGTGAGCTCCTCCGGGCTAATTGTTGTGTGGCAAGGTAAGGAAGACTTCCAGAAACAGCCCTGCGGTGAGACACTGGCGGCCTAATTGGAGAACCTGTTATTTTCTCACAGGTCCAAGTTCAGCTGTAGGTCAGAGGAGTGGAGTGGTGTCAATCCTAGCCAGCCCCTTTTACCCCCCACCCCCCACCCCCACCCACTAAGACATACATTGCGCACCCTCACCTGTCAGCTTAGCGTACGCTCAGGTAATTAGCAGGGGCTGATGTGAGAGGGGGAGTGGGCGTAGCTCACCGTGTCTCACCCTCATTTGTGTTATGACAGAGGAAGTTATCTCTAAATGTTGAGTGCAGGAGCAACAGCGGGGTTTACCTAAGTCAATAAAGGCGGATGCTTTCTGTGACATGCACAATGCTCCCCATTGTCCACCCTAACAGTGGAAGAGAGGCAGTCATCATTGGAATTGGCATTAGGATCACGTCCTCTCAGAGGTGCATGTGTAGGACATGTGGCTGACTGTATCTGCTGCTGTGATTCATCTGTTGAGCAAGTTGCATGCGGCTCAGATTAATACTCGTAAATCGCAAACATGGAAACAAGACAAATCATCACAAAGGCAGACTTGTTTGCAGAGTGGACACGAGCAGCCGATGAATACGAAAATTGGTTAGAAAATATAACACTGCCTTGAAACACAATCTGCATCTGCATCCAACACATGTCTTGATTTGAGTCTAATGTAGTAGCCTACTGGTTACAATTGTGACAGCCCTCTCCACCTGTGTACCTGCTGCTTCTTGTGTGTGGCTGCTTCCTTTGCAAGTACTAGAGGTGGGTGTCGCAAAGGGTTGTCAGTAGCTGGGCTCATCAGCAGATGTGGCACACCTGGGCCCTGTGTGCTGGTGCTTTTAAGACCGTGTTGGAGCTCAGCTCTGGTTCGCTCTCCTCCCTGAGGCACCCCTTTGGTTTGGTCTGCATTTGGTTTATGTCCTTTCTGTTGCTGCACCATACAACATTGCATTCACACGCTTCTTCACTCATGCACTCAGTTACACTGCTGATCTTACAGATTACACATGCCGTTGTTAGTTTAAATTCTTCTCCTAGATTTATTGTCTGTTTCTTTTTTTTTTAAATAAAACATTTGATAATTGGCTTGTCTGTGTGCATCTCCCTCTTTTGTCATGACCGTGCGGCCTGGTTTGTGACAAGTGGGGGCTTGTCCAGCCAAATTTGATATGTTTGTGGCCGTGGTTTGAAGTTTTAATTGCTGTACGGTTTGTGTGAAGGTACACAGGCTTTGGCTGAGATGTATGGTGATGGGTACATCTGGCACAACTTGTGCTTGGGAGATGCATTTTGGATAGGAAGTTTGTATATATATGTATATATATATGTGTAGACAGAGAGAGAAAGTGGTCAAGACTGTTAGTTCAAGCTAGCAGCATGTTTTGTCTCTGGAACCTACAACTTAAAACTGAACTTGATTAAACCTCATTAATTTGACCTTGATACCAGTGAGATGATGAAATATGATTCTAGGAAGGCTGCCTTGAGTGACTGATTCATGAGCATGAAACCATATCAACACTCAACAGATACTAGAATACTATGAGGTAGGATTTTACAACTCTGTAGAAGTTGTCCCATTCAAATAAATGAGGAGGCAACATGTTCATGTAGTGCTGTTGTCTGTCTGACCATGGCCTTAGACTGGAAGAGGGTCACATTTGTGTATTGAGCCGATTCTGCTCTTTTCCCTGGCAGTTCTGCTTCACTGTGAATCATTCATTCAGTGAAGAGCAAACTGCTGTGACACTGTGCTTAGCTTTCTTTGCATTTGATGAAAGTTTGCTTGATCGTTTCAATGCTTTTAACTTTGGGTCAAACTACATTAAAGAACAGTCGATCTGATACTAAAATAATCCATTTTTAACCCATAACCTCAAACATCAAGCAGCATCTATTGTCCACTAGAGGTCACTACCACAGATATAAAGAATCTCATTCCATTGACTTCCATTGATCTCAGATGTATCTCAGATGTATGGATGTCATAGAACATTTTCAGTCTTGTTTACTTACTTCAACAACTTACAATCAATGTCTAAGAGAGTTGTGTAACAACCCATCCACCACAATAATAATAGTAAAAAAAACTCCCAAGCGTTGCTTTCAATAAATGATTTATTATACATGTCAGAGCAAGGACAGTTTTGATCATGAATGAATGTTTTTTTTTTTTCTTACAAAAAGCATCTGCAGTATAAATTTACAACTGGGAAAGAAAGAAAAGAAGCATTCATGTGTTGCCAGGATCTTATGAATCAGGTTTTCTTTGAATCACTTCCGTCATTTACGCAATCATCCCTTAACACAGATGCTTTAGCACTAAGTGCCCAAATCATTTCTCAGTGCATCCCCTGTTGATGTACTGTGGGATGTTTCAGTCTAATTTATTTAGTGTGTTAATTACTGTGCTGCCCGCCTCCCTGTCTTCTCTCGATAGCTCATACTCTGGTCAGCATGTCTGGGAGACGACGACGCTGCCTCCCACCTCAAGGCTCTCAAGCTCATAAATCAACCAGTGAGCATGTGTGTATGTATATATGTGTGTGTGTGTGTGTGTGTGTGTGTGTGTGTGTGTGTGTGTGTGTGTGTGTGTGTGTGTGTGTGTGGTCCTCATTGCATGATTTTGCTGCAGGCATATTGAAGGGCTTGTTATGGAAGTCATGATCACCGGCTCAGGGGTGTATATCCGCCTGCTGAGGAGATGGGCAGTAATAGACCTGTCAGTTGTGTTTTACCCAGGAGCTACTGTGTGCTGCTATGTCCAAATCACTGCTGACTCTCCCAGAACCCCACAGACCTCCATGAAGATCTCTGTCACTAATGACTTCACCCCTACACTGGTAGCAGCCCATAAATATGTGGAATTTTAAAGAGCATACTGGTGTATTTACATGATTTAGCTCCTTAATTGCAGAGCATGAATATTTCACATTTTCCTAGTTATTTTCAATCACATGTCACACAGTTACATTATGCAGTAATCTATGCTTAAAGTTCCACTTACAAATGATTTGGAGCTTTCAACTCTCATGGTCTTCATTCAGGAAACTCAGCTTGCTCATGTTTCATCACTTTTTCTGTGGCAATGCAGTTTAAATGCAGATGGATTCTGTTAGTTCTATAACTATAATGTCGCATTGACAAAAATTGTAACAGATTTATGCTCATTGTGATCAATTACACAACTCAACCAAGTCTCAAAAGTATTTCTTTAAGTTTTTCACATCCTGCGGAGATGAAGTGAAGCAATTGGGTAATGGGAGATGGAATCACTA